ACGAGTCTGTGTTCTCAACAGATATAATAAAGGATTTAGGAACTCAAGGGAAGGAAGTAGGAGTGGTTTTGGGCCCTGCTTGCCATCACTCACAGTGACCCACTTGTGGTATTTATGTTTCTTGTCCCAGCAACTCTGTGGGTTTAAGGACCTGGTAATTGACTGAGTAGTTTTTGCCCAGTTTTTGATGGTAAACGGAGCAGTCAAAACCCGAGAAGGTTATGGTAACCAGAAGCCTAAGAGATAAGACACAGAGACAACAGAGCTGAGAGTAAGGGAAGTTTACACGGGTTGTAGCATAGAGAAACAATGAGTATCAGTTGCAATCTGTAGATTAGGAACAGTACCACAGTTATAGTTTATCCTACAACCTTCCTCTTATGTGTTTCCCCAGGAAATGAGAGCAGCCGAGAATCCTGGAGGAGCTGTAAGTGGATCCAGTACAATAGGTCGATTACAATGGATGCATTGGCTTGCCACCCAAATCCTGACTTCTGTATTACTGAGGCAATCATTCCCTCAGCCAGTCTGAATCATTCCCATGGTTGTCTTCATTTGAAACTCGGAGAAGCCCATATATAATAATTAGTCCCTGCCCATGTGTCAAGAACTAACCTTTGCTACAAAGCAGGACAATGTCCAGGCTCCCTGTGGTACTGGTTAAGTGACCTATGGTGTGACCACATTATAGCTCAAGTTTTCTTCTTACTTAATCCTACTTCCTTTGCTCTTTCTCCAGGATTGAATCTTTGGGCACTCTCCAAGTAACTTCCTGCATGCAGATATTCATCCCAAATTTGATTTCTGAGACATACCACATGCAAGATATATTTTCTTTTGTTTTGCTATTTTATTATCGTTTAGGCAACATGGTTACCTAACAATAGTGTTAACATTTATAATTTTGGTGTATAAATTACTGCATTTTCTCCACCACCAAAGTGCCCAAGATCCTCTACCACTGTTCTTATGTTCCTTCTAGCCTGTTTCCCTGCACTACTGTGTAACCTTAACAGAAAGTACTATCTGAAACACAAGGTTTTGTGTGACTGTTATAAAGAATTAAGAGTCACTGGGTAAACTCTATCTGAAGAGTTCATTTACCTCATCCTCAACATTGACACGATTTCTCCTCCTTTTGGAGACTGTTTACCTAGGACCTCTCTGCATGTGCTGAATGCCACAAGTAGTCAGGAAATTTTTCAGTTTTGTTCTTTCCTAAGAGTCATTTCCTTTCTTCAAATTTCTGATTGTACAAGCCCTGGACCTTCCTATCTCATCTTTCCAGAAAGCCAACAGTCCAAATAGCTGACGTTTGTCTCTCTCCACCTATGGTCAATAAGTTCCAGCTGCTGAAAGATTTATAGACCTCTCCACAGGGTTACCAGAAGGAGAGCAATTCAAATTCCTCTGGCTAGCAGTCACCATCTTATTTCTGTTTCTTCTGTGTAGTGTACTTCTGTGTGTGTTTGTGTGTGTGTAAAATTACTACTTCTGTTGAGAATCATTTGAGGATTTATTAATTTGTTTTTGTTTTGTTGTCCAATAATAGGCACTGTTTCTTTGACTTTAATATCTATTTTTTATTTGTGGCTAAATCAAGTCTCAGACTCATTCACACTGGGACAAATCCAAGAAAGTTTAAAGAAAGAAGATAAAGTTTAAAAAAGGGGGAAAATATGTGTGTATATGTATGTACATATATATATATTTCTGTCAGAGGACTTGGGTAGAAATTAATGATATATGGAAAATAAAGTATAAAAGGTAACTATTAACATCCAGGGAAACAAAATGATTGTATCAGAAGCATGTAACTAGTACATAGTCATTTGTGAACAGGATTTCTAGAGAAAAATAGTGTAAATATTGAAAATTAGTTTAATCAAAAATATGACAATAATTTTTTGTTTGTTTCTGGACCAAACCTGAAAATTCTCAAGGATTACCCCTGGCTCTGTGCTCAGGGATCACTCTTGGTTGGGACCTGGGGAACCATATTCAGTGCTGAGACCAACCTGATTGGCTGCATGCAATCTGAAGTTGTAGAAAGAAAAAAATCTGTGAACAAAACCAGAACACCATAAGAAATAATTAAAAGAGGTAAATGTAGTTGGCTCTGTTGAACAGAGATCAGAGTTGTGGGGAAAGCGAACAGAGGGATTTATTTATGTTGTTATAGCTGAAAGCCTTGTATTTGACTTTTTATACCATATGCTGGTGTATTTTGATTAAAGAAAATTTTTAACAAAGGGTCTTAGAGAGGAAAACAAGAGAGAAGAAAATGAGTAGGAAAAAAATAAGATGAAGTCAGAAGTAATATTAGATTCAGTACACATCATATCTAAAGATAGGTTGAAAATTTTGTTCTGAGCTTTTTTAGCACCAGAATGAAGTGGGAAATGTAATCATTTATATCATTTCACAATGTTCGAGAGATAAAAACAAACCACTTACTCAGGAGAAATACATCTATTCCTGGTACTGAGAACCGAGAGACATTTTTCCCATCTGTCCTAAAAAGGATGCTGTGTAATGAAGTGAACCACATCCTCATCAAAGGGCCTGCAGCAAATGCAGTGAGTCTCAAAGAGCTGCATCTCAACATGGATCACAATGCAAGCCAATGGCAAAGTGCCAACGCAGAGTGCAGGAAAAACAATCCTATGAGGCTATTAAAAATTCTGCTCCCTCCACAGAGACAATAAAGAATGGTGGCTAGTCTGTGGACCTGGGCACCAAATAAATCTGTCTCTTAAGAAAGTTATTAATTAGTCTAAACTAAAGTTTTTTCTTCTATAAAGTGGGTCTACACATTATCATCTCATAGGGTTTTGTAAGGAATAAAGTTTGCCTGGTATCTATAAGGACACCAAAAAGCTATTGTTTAGAGAAGTGTTTTTTAAATGGATCTTGTATGTAATACCATAGGAATCAAACAGCAGTCTAGTGAAGAAATTAACACAGAGATCAATAAACTAGACTAGAGGAATTAATCCACCCAACTACAGCCAAATAATTCTCAACAAAGGATGAACAAAAGTCAGTAGGGAAAAGAGTCTTTTCAACAAATGTCAAAAGAACAATTGGTATCTTCAGGCAAATAAATTGACTTCAACCTAAAAGTTACCCTTTAAAAACTAACTTGGGAGTGGAGGAGCAGAGAGATAGCACAGCAGATAGGGCATTTGCCTGCATGCATCTGTCCTGGGTTCAGTCTCTGGCACCTCATATGGTTCCTTGATTCAAGCACTTGCTTTGCAGCTGACCCGGGTTCAAGCCTAGCATCCTACATGGTCTCCTGAGTACCACTGGGAATGATTCCTGAGTGCAGAGCCAGGAGTTACCCCTGAGCATCACCAAGTGTGGCCCAAAACCAAAATAAAACAAAACAAAAAAAAGAAACACTCAAGGCATGATCCATAAGAGAAATACTGGCAAAGTGAAACTTCACCAAACATGAAAACTTTGTTCAGCAAACAATCCAGTTAAAAGAAAGAAAAATATTGAGCTGGAGAAAGTTCAGATGGGCTGGAGCATATGCATTGCATACACAAGGGCACGAATTTGATCCCCAGCACCACATATCCGCTCCCTGTCATTGCCAGATGTGACTCTGGTTTCCCTCAGCATGGAGAAGGCTGCTCTGCATCACAGGAGACAGCAGTGAACTGTCAGGCACACACAACAGGGTCAAGAATTGTCAGGAGGGGCCAGCGTGATGGAACAGAGGGTAAGGTACTTTCCTTGCATGCAGTCAGCCTGGGTTCAATCCCTGGCACCTCACATATTCTCCCAACCCCCTTTAGGAGTGTTCACTGAATATAGCACTTGGAGGAAGTCCTGAGCACCACCAGGTGTGGCCTCAAAACAAAACAAAATAGCTGGAAATGTTCTCCAGGTTCCCTGAGTACTGCTTAGGAGCACCCCGCGCCCTCCACCCAAAAAGAGAGTGACGGAGCAGTGATGTGGCTCAATATTAGAGGACTTGCCTTGCTCATATGAGGCCCTGGACCTAATTCCTGGAAACTTACAATCCCCGAGCACTACTGGAGTGACCCCTGGGTACCAAGCTGGGAATAGCTTCCAAGCACCACCAGGTCAACACAAAAGAGAATAAAGAAACAGATTTCAAGAAAATGTTTGAAACCAAGTATTACAGAAAGTATTGCAGACCAATTATCTGTAATGGAGCACAGAGCACTTTCAATAATCAAAAATAAGAAATAATTCAATTGGAACACAAACAGAAGGGACCAGAGAGACAGTATAGAAGATAAGATGCTTGCCTTGCATGCATCCAACCCCATTTCCAATTCCCTGCACCACATATGGTCCCCCAAACACTGCAGAAATCAATCCTGGTCTCAGATCTGGGATACCCCTGAGTACCACCACCTGTGGCCCCAACTCTCCCCCTCCCTTTGCCAAGGGCAAAAGAAACTGGATAAAGACTTTAAGAAAAGGGCCTGGGAGATAACACAGGAGTCAGGATCCTCAGTTTGATCACCACCATTGACTGTCTGCCACTAACAACAAGTGTGGCCCTATTGGTCTCTAAAAACCCCAGCGTGGTCATGGAGGTTCCTATCACCACATGGAGGTTCCTAACCCTAACGTGGTCATGGAGGCCAGAGCAGTATGCATCTTAGGGCCCATGGGACATGATTGGCTGAGTATCACTGGGAGTGGCCTCAAGGTCCCTGAGCACTGTTTGGGAGGATCCCTTAAAAAGAGTTTTGTTATTTGGCAGGCACTTCTGATTCTATGCTCAATGATAACTCCTTGAGGTGCTCATGGGACCTTATACAGTGACTTTGACCCCATGCAACATAAGTGACTTAACCTCTCTACTATCTCTCCAGCCCCAAACATTTTATTTTAAGAGATATATCTGGGTTTGCACTTACAAGCCAGTGTTCTCTCTTGAGTCCATGCTTTCCTCTCTTTTCTCCCTTTACATCTAAGGAAATTTCTTTCAATAAGGACTTTCTGTTTCAAAGACTATATTTTCAGGGATCATTTCTATAGTTCGTTACTAGAGAAGTTTCTCTGATCGTGTAGAGCACCCAAGATCAGGAGGAAGAATCAGAACATCTTCTTCTGAGCATCAAGCCAGTTCTAGGTATTGCTTTTGTAATTGCCTTTTAACATGAATACTTGGTCTTCTCTTCCCTTGGAAGAGTGAGAGAGAGGACATAGTCCGAGTAGTTTCTTAGGGAAAAAAACCCAACCTATTCTTTATTCTTTTTCACACACACACACACACACACACACACACACGATATATTTGCATCTTTGGCACCTGAATATACAGTTCCACCGCCAAAAAATACGTTAAAGATTATTTAGTCACCAGAAATAATGCAAATTAAAATCACAATGAGATACTATCTCATGTATACCTATCATAATGGCTAAAATTTAAAAAGTGGTAACAGCAAATGTAAACAGAAGAAACTGCCTATCATATATTATTAGTGGCAATGAAAAAAATATACTGTTTCTATGAAAAATAGTTATACTTTAAACAAAAACTAAACATAGGTTTACTGCATGTCACAGTAATAATACTCCTAGGAGTATAGACAGATAATTATACTCTGAGAAAGGGACATTTATGTCCATGCAAAAATATGCATAAGAATGAAAGCTAATTGAAGCTTTATTTGTAATAGAATAAAATTGGAAACAACCCAAATATTCTTTAATGGGTAAATGCTTAAACAATGATTTGCCCGTATCATAAACTACTGTTTAGCAATCAAAGAAACAAACTATTGATACATGCCAACAACTTGGAAGAATCTCAAAAGAATCATGAGAAATGAGAAAAAAGAGCAAATTTCAAAAGGTTGCATCCAGAATGGTTTCATTTATATGACAATCTCAAAATGATAAAACAGAGAGACAAAAGATTTAGGTCTGGGATGCAGTGTAGTTGTGACCATAAAAGAGCATCAGTAATAAAACAGTTCTAAATCTTTATTGTTATACGGTTACAGATATATAACTACATATGCATACCTGCATGTAATGCTGGTACAATCTAAATAAAATCAGTGCATTGTGCCAATATCAATTTCCTGACTCTGATATTGAACTGTAGTTATCTAAGATGTGACTGTGAGGGGAATCTGCAGAGCACTAAAACCTCTCTGTAAGAATGTTCACAGTTTCTTATAAATCAATAATCACTTCAAAATAATTTTTAATGAATGTTCTGGAAACATTAGGTAAATCCTATGAAATCCGAACATGTAAGATTAAAGTCATCTCTATTTTGTAGATTCTTTGTTTTATAGGTCACATAAAATGATTGTTTTATGTACTTTTTTAATGTGCTGGCAAAAAATATGAAAATTCATCTAAGAATAACACTTCTCTTAAAAATGTGTGAATCTGAGTTCAAAATCTATCTTAAAAAGGACAGAGGTTGTGGAGGGTTGCTCATACAGGTACTCATGGTTTTAAGATTCCAAGTAGCAGATTTCCAGGAGTCCTTACACAAAGGCAATCACTTCCTTAGACCACTGCTCTGCCCTCTGTTTTTCAATTTAAGAACGTGACTCTCTTGCACACTATGCTTGGAGTGACATTAACTGAGCTCACCAGACATTCTTGTCACAAAAGTCTCAGTCACACTCAGGTGCACATTTTTTTTTATAAATCAACTCCCTTTGAACATCCCTTTGAGAAGCCATTTTAACTTTTTTTTTTTTGCTTTTTGGGTCACACCGGGCGATGCACAGGGGTTACTCCTGCCTTTGTACTCAGGAATTACTCCTGGAGGTGCTCCGGGAACCATATGGGATGCTGGGGATTGAACCCGGGGTTAGCCACGTGCAAGGAAAGCACCTTACCTGTTGTACTATCGCTCCAGCCCCCATTTTATTTTTTGTTTTGTTTTTTGCTTTTTGGGTCACACCCAGCAATGCTCAGGGGTTACTCCTGGCTCTGCACTCAGGAATTACTCCTGGCAGTGCTTGGGGGACCATATGGGATGTTGGGAATCGAAGCCGGGTCGGCCGCATGCAAGGCAAATGCCCTACCCGCTGTGCTATTGCTCCAGCCCCACCATTTTAACTTATTAACCTAAGTTCCATCAGTAAGAAATTGCAAGGCCACTGGGATAGAGAAGGGACAACTAAGTAAATGATGAGTGGGAGGGCTCCCTCGGGATAGTAGATGCATGCTGAAAGTAGACTATAGCCCAAACATGATAGCCGCTTAGTACCTCTGCTGCAAACCATAACACCCAAAATGAGAGAGAGTAAGAGGGAGTGTGCCTCCAGGAGGATTACTCCATAACTTAGAGGCCAGCCGGGTATCCTAGAGGAAAGGGCAGTTCAGATAGAGAAGGGAGCACCAAATAAAGGGTGTTTGGAGGATCCTCCCAGGAGGGGAGATGCATGTCGAAAGTAGACTATGGACTGAACATGTTTGCCACTCAATGCCTCTTTTGCAGACCACAACACCCAAAAGGAGAGAGAGAACAAAGGGGATTGCCCTGCCACAGAGGCAGGGTGGGATGGGGGGATGGGGGTGGGGGGATATTATCCATGGTGGTGGGAAATGGGCACTGGTGGAGGGATGGGTATCTGATCATTGTATAATCGAAACCCAAGCACAAAAAATTGTAAATCTACAACTGTACCTCATGGTGTTTCACTAATAAAAAAAAAAATTGGAAAAAAAAAAAGAGGGAGTGTGCCTGCCACAGAGGCAGGAGGTGAGAAGGGATGAGGATGGCGGGAGGGATACTAGGAACATTGGTGGTGGAGAATGGGCACTGTTGGAGAGATAGGTATTTGAACATTGTATGACTGAAGCATAACCACGAAAATTTTTAAGTCTGTAACTGTATCTCACGGTAATTCATTTTAAAAAATAAATAAAACTGGTGGAGGGATGGGTACTCGATCATTGTATAACTGAAACCCAAGCACAAAAATTTGTAAGTCTACAACTGTACCTCCTGGTGTTTCACTAATAAAAATTTTAAAATGAATAAATAAATAATAAAATAAATTAAAATAAAATCTATAGGCGTGGAGGAGAAGAAAAAAATGCTTTTAAAAAACAAAACTATGGGGTTGGAGCAATAACACAATGGGTTGAGCATTTGCTTTGCATGCAGTGAAGCCAGGTTCGATTCCCAGCATTCCATATGGTTCCCCAAGCACCTCCCCAAGTGATCCATGATCCATTTCAATCACTTACTTATAGTCTTCAATTTTAAACTATCAAAAAGCCATATGATTCTGTTCCTGGGTTAGACTTCCTGTACCCATCACATCTTGATAATAGTATGTACAAAATAAATTCTATTAGAAGATCTTCAATGTGGGATTTGAAATGCCAGAAACATCTAAACAAAAAAATTCTCCTTAATAATTAAAAAACAATTGTACATTTAACAAATTACATCCATTGTAACTATTAAGAATACTTAATTATTAAATATAGCATGCATGATGAAGGGTGAAATACACTAAATGGAAGTGATCCAATAATAATGGAACTGAAGTCAGATTTTAAGTGTTGATTGCAGGCTATCAAGTATTGACTGAGCTCACTGTAACAGATCTTGGTTATTGATGTTTGAAAAGGTAACAGCTACTTTTTTGGATTATTTTGTGTGTACTGTGTTGAGATAGCTAAACTTTAAACATCAATCACCTAGCATAGAACAGGCAAATTCATAACATTTCCTCTGAATCTTTGCATAGAATTAATGGGCATTCTAATGAAAGACTAAACTTTTATTCTAATGAAAGTACTCTAAATCGGCCAAGTGCTTAGAAGCAAATTTTTTAAGAGAGATTACAGAGCTTCAGGTGCTTCCCTTGCATGTAACCAAACCCAGTTCAGTCCACAACACTGCTGTGAGTGACTCCAAGTATGAGTCAGTAGCAAGCTGTAAGCACGGCTGGATGTGACCTAACTCCTGATTCCCCCCAAATTAAAAAAAATCTTTATAGTAATTACACGAGTTCGATTCCTCCGCCCCTCTCGGAGAGCCCGACAAGCTACGGAGAGAATTTCGCCTGCACGGCAAAGCCTGGCAAGCTACCTATGACGTATTCGATATGCCAAACACAGTAACAACAAGTCTCACAATGGAGACACTACTGGGTCCACTCGAGCAAATCGATGAACAACGGGAGGACAGTGCTACAGTGCATAGTAATGACACACATACACACACACACACACATATGTATATATTTATAGATCAAGAATGGGGGGAGGCACAACATCCAATGGTGCTCAACTATTAGTACTGGCTCTGTACTCAGGAATCACTCCTGGCAATGGTCAGGGTATCATAACAGATGATGGGGATCAAACCCAGTCAGCCGCATGCAAGGCAAGTGCCTCATCCATTGTACTTTCTCACCAGGCCCTGGATCAAAACCCTTATTCTTGGAGAACTTCACCACATCTTTGGAGAGAAGAGTTTGCACTTCTCTTATTCAGGTAATTTATATAATCCTTGATTTGGATAAATAAATCCAAACTTTAAAGTAAAATGAATGTATTCTCTCTTGTACTTTATTGAATAATATGAAAATGTAATAAATAATCTGTAGCACTGCAGCACTGTCCTCCCGTTGTTCATCCATTTGTTCAAGCGGGCACCAGTAACATCTCCATTGTGGGACTTGTTGTTACTGTTTTTGGCATATCTAATATGCCACGAGGAGCTTGCCAGGATTTGCCGTGCGGGCGAGATACTCTCAGTAGCTTGCCGGGCTCTCCAAAGGGACGAAGGAATAGAACCCGGCTTGGCCGCGTGAAAGGCAAATGCCCTACCTGCTATGCTATCACTTCAGCCCTACCCATTGTGCTATCGTTGTGCTATCACTTCTCGGCCTTTTGGCTAAGATCAAGTAGAGTAATAAATAATACTGATAATAAATTTTAAGGTAATTTTTCCCATAAAAAATTTAGAAGTTACATCAGAGAGGAATAAAACTTAGACTGAATCTGGTTCCTCAAATTCTGTTTACTTACCTTACATTCTCTAATATCTTTTACTTACCTTATTTCTTTTTTCAATATTTTTATTTTTCTGAATTTTTCTCTTTTGTTTGTTTGTTTTGCTTTTTGGTTCATACCCATCAATGCATAGGGGTTACTCCTGGCTCTGCACTCAGGAATTACTCCTGGCAGTGCTTGGGGGACCATACGAGATGCTGGGAATTG